AGAGCCATTAGATTCTATAATTATTCATTGTGTGTTAATGGTGCTGAATTAATAAACAAAGAGCTTGAACTCCTATGAAAATGATAATTGATAGTTTTTAAATATAATGTATAAAACTAAGCACAAAATAGCTTCCAATCGGAAGAAACTTTGACAATAAAAATCTTATGTATTTGTTAGTTTAGAAACATACCACATAAATATATGAGTGTGATTAGTAAGCTAGTATTAATCTTACCCTAATCGTAAGATGCATAATATATATATAAATTGAAAACATAAGAAATAGTATACTTGCATAAAGAATATTAGCAGAAATTGTGGTTTTGGTTGGTACTACTGTCAAGCTTAGCTTGGCAAACAATGCTGCCTTTCCATGACCCTATTCTCTGCCCTCCTTTTGGATAAAATTTTGTTCAACACTTTTGTTCACCCACATTTTATGATCAACATAAATGTACTGAATAGCACAGAAATTCCGAAATTCATTGTACACTAAAGCTAACGTAATGAAGTTCAATATGGAGAATCGTAATCATGACGCGTGACCTCCTCTTTCGCACGTCACTCATGTTTACAACACGTTACGTATCTCACGTTTACTACGAAATTTGAATTATTAGAATATCATTATCTAAAGAGAACATATTCGCGTAAATATAGCACAATCATTCGAAGTGATTTAAACGAGTGGAAGGAATAAAACGAACATAAAATGATTATGGGGACAGGGGGAAAGGGAGGTTGAGAAACACGCAACTGAACATGCACTCATTAAAAGGATACACCACGAGCCGCTGTCCCATATCCTGAATGAAATTCGCTGCCTGCTGTCGGTAGCTCAGTTCCTTATCCGCGTCGATGCCGCATCTTCTGCTCGGCGTGTTTATAAGCTGTTCTTTCGTAAAGTACCATTTTTCGTCAGCCGCCATTTATATGTACACACAACTCGGTACTAACGATGCGCACTTCACGGCGGTCGCGATAGTGGCGGCGGGCGCACAACGCACAACAGCAACACGTTGAAAACTTCACGTCACTACGCTAACCGGAAACTCCACTCCAAACTCATACTTGTATAACTTTTCACAGTGAAACATAATCACACACTGACTGACAGGAACTAAAAATATTCATAACGTTGTTACTGCTTTACGAATACTCAATTTTCTCTTCTATAAAGTGCTTTTCATTTATTCTTATAAAGTTTGTATTTTATGCAGACAAGCCATTTTAAATTCCGGAAATGCTATTCTTTTTTCCTTAAATCGTTTAACACGCATCCAACTTCACGACACTGCTTTGGAATCAAGCAGTAAGATGAAAAATCAACTTCAGAAATTCTTCAAAGGCTTCGATGTTTCCATGTATTCTTAACATGAGATTGTCGTAGTTTACAGGTTTATACGAAATTTTGCAATACCGTTAAAATTATTTTATGGACGTTTTATTCGTTTAATATTTTACAAAATAAGTTTTCCGTATAATAATTATTATAAATTAATAAAGTCAACTCTTCGATAGTGCATCACAGTAACGAGATTTATTTATATTTTATGTTTTATTTATAAGAACCGTTGCATTTTCACATAGACTCAGCAAACTCTTTTTTTATAACTTCAATAAAGTATTCACAAATTTAAAACTGGACCATAAATGTATTATAATTTAGAACTCGATATATGTTAGGTATGCAGGGTAATCAACGATGTATGACATTAATTATTTTACGGAAATATCTTCCGCACGCATTTTCCATTTTTTGCATCATCATACACCACCATTAAAAAAACTTGATTTACTAATTTTCGGTAGGCCATGAGGTTGGTTATAAAATAAACAGTTAAATAACTTCTGTAACAATAATAAAATAAAAATTCTATATCTTATGTAATGAGGTATTAAGGTTATTTAGTATGTAACAATTTTGCGCGCCCAAAAATTAACCCCATTTCATTTGGAAAATTATAAAATATAACTTGTTGGTATGTTGCACAAGAAGTTGTAATTTTCCGGCACGATTAATATTAGGAAATGTATACCGTTTATGCGAAGTAAATATCGATAATTTTTTATGGCAAACACATTGCGTTGATGATTGTAAACACGCGTGCGTAACGTAAAACCAACTTGGCTAATATTTTACGACCAACGTCATAACCTACCTGAACTTTTCAGTCTATGATAGGTATGAATCACGTAGTTTATCAATTAGAAGTTTTGAGCTTTAAACTCCCGGAAGTGACGCAATCGTCGTTGAGCTAGTAGTATGTGCACGCAGCCAATGTTACCCCTGTAGTAGCGTCCCGTTATCTTGGTCCTCTCGAAGGACCTAGTGTTGTCTTTCAAGTATTTATTATTTATTCGCGTACAACTTCAGACTTACTGCACATTTGCCAATATTTTACGTTTCACAATATAATCTTTTTTCTCTTGAAGCTTCCAGAAGTACCTTGACGGTGACAAGCGTGAATCAGTTGGCACTGTCTTTCCTTCTCGGAAGATTTGATGTAAGAGATCACAGTAAGTTTCTAAAAAAATTATGCTTCGCGGCTTTTTGAAGTCTCGCTTGTTTCGTTTTATTCCAATTTTCACAAAAACCAATCACATATCCGCCTCATTCTTTCGAAATCCGTACATACATCTATGAGACTTCATTCAACATCTCACGTATAAAATGGCGGCGGTGTACCACTTGTTACAAATTCCGCATTATATTATAGTCTTTTTTTTTAAATTGGCATGAACTTAAATATATATGATACTTTACATTTATTGTAATTTTTTATATTGTAAATATTGCTTAGCTTGTAAATTATTTTAGGGTAATAAAATTGATGAAAGTATTTTGATTTCCGAAGTAAATTATCGCGCTAAATTTGAAATTATAAATTAAGTACGTTATATTTTTAGGCTGTATTCTTAAAACTAGTTTAGAAATGCAGCTGTCTTGTTAAAGTTTTCTTCTATGTTATAAAAAAAATTATTTTAATATGATAATTTTTTTGTTTTTATAGGTAAGTTATGTTTCGTATCCCAAAAACAACAATGCCTGTGACTACTGTAGCCACAAAAAAAGCAAAACACACACAAACTTGTTCATACTCATCTTATGAATGCACACAACCTTGTCTTGAGGGATATAGTTATTGTACCAAACACATTCTTGAGGATTCAAGTGCTCCTTTCAAGCAATGTGGCTTTGTGTATAATACTAATGGTAGAAAATGTCAAAATGCTGCACCAAAATTGGATAGAAGAGATATTTCGTATGTACTACAATTACATTTAGAGAACTTTGTTTTTGACATTTCTAGAATCATATAAAAATTTATTTTTAATAGGTATTGTACTGAGCATACTAGAAAAGCTCAAGTAGCTCGTATAAAATCAACAGCAAGGCATTCTTTACCACAGACACCTGAAATGCTCTTACTTAATTTGAGTCATTATGTTAAAAGAACAGATTCAAGTACTGAAGATACTGAAGATGAAGAAGGAAAAGTTAAAACATTAGACCCTTTTAGTAAGTAGTTGATTAACACTTTCAGCACAGGATGTTTTTCATTGTTCTACCTCAGTCATGAAAACCTTTCTTTTACCATTATGCAACAACATGAAAAACGAAACTTTTCACATCAACTACACCTGGTGTAGCCAAAATAATACTGAAGTAGAATTCGCATCTGTAAATGCAATAAAATCCGAACCTAATTCACTGTAGCTAATAAATAACGTCGCTATATAATCTACAATGTCTTAAGACATCGTGTGTCCGGTGCGTTCGCCCGGCTTGCGGTCTTATGACATCATCCGTGTTGAAAGTGTTAAATAACTGTAATAAATAAATTAAAAATTATTTCAAATAATGGTAATTAATTCTTTTATGTTATTTTCATTTAGCTGAAGTTGATGCATACAGGGTAAATGCAAGTGGATGTGATATTCTAGATTATGCAAGTTCATCTGACAGTGATGTTGAACCTACAGTAGTAAATGATACATTAAGAGGAAGTTACCTTGATGATAGTGATAATGAAAGTTTATACAGTGCACAAGAAGATCCTTTAAAGTAAGAATAAACTTGTACATGAATATTTACAATAGTTTATTATTTTATTTCTTATGTAGAATATCAGCTAGCTTGCTTTGGCTTGAGCAAATCTTAAAGATGAAATTATTCCAATTACTTGTATTCCTACTTACTTGCCTTTGGTAGCTGCTTTTTGCAAAAATAAGACAGTTATTTCTATTGAATCATTAGTATTAATTTTTTAAGGCATGCTGGAATATTCACTGCTGAGGAGGTGATCTACATTGCACGAGAAAAACTTATTAGACTGCAATCACTTTATATAGATCAGTTTAGAAGACTACAATATATATTAAGGGAGAAAAGACGAAAGTATTTACATGGACTTAAAAAGGAAAAAGAAACACTGTGCAGCATACATGATCAGCCAAAAGAAACTACAAAAGAAAAAAAGATTTATGAAAAATTAAAAGCATTAAATCGTTACCATAGACGAAGCGGAGTTGAAGCTATACTATACAGAAAATCATTAGAACGTAGAGCACAGGTAATTAACGCATAAATTATGCATAATAGAATATATACATATGTATATGGTGGTAATATAAATACATGATGATATAAAAATCAAAGTATATATTTCCTACAGGCAACAGAGGGATCTACACAAAAAATACCAAGTATATCAAAATGTATTTTCACTGAAGGTGGAGTAAAGTGTGGAGAAAGAACTCTTCCAGCTGCAAAACATTGCCGCAAACATATTCTTAAAGTAAAATTATTTTTATGTAAATAAAATTACAATTTTACAGTGAGATATAAATTTAAAATATTTTATTATGCTAACAGGATCAACACCAGGTTTTATTTAAGGCTTGTGGAGCAATTCGTGCAGATATAGAATGTCATGAACCAGTACCTGTAATTTTTGATACAAATTGCGTGTTTCACATGAATTTACCATCTGAATGCAAATTAGAATCTATGAAAGTAAGTTTAAAAATTATGTAATATTAACGAAAGTGGTATAATAATAATGATTATATTTTTACTGCACAATTATTAGTTTAAAGAATCAAAACCTGAAGCATTGGAAATGCCAGTAACGGATAATCAGTCTATGGAGATTGATGTAGTAGGTGAAATTCAAGAAATTGATCCAGATGATGATATGGCAGGATTAATGAGAGAAATGAGTGATGCTGCACACATGAAACCAGTATTTAATGAAAGCTTAAACAGTGAAGCGAGCACAGATACAGCATTTAGTTTATCAGCGCAGATGAGTGATAGAGACGACCTTGTTTCTGTGTGACAAAATATGTTTCTATGATTTCAAATGACAGAATATTATTAATATTTGTTGTTACATAATTACGCTTTCTTTGTACAAAATTGTATCTAATATCTACGCAACGTTTAACTTTTAAATATTATTTGATTATACTATTAACTATATATTAAGTGCCTAAACAGTAAGAAAAATATGTGAAGTAGAAAATGCACATTGTGTAACAACAAAGGATGTATTAAAATAATTTTATGTATTTGTACATGTATAATTATTAAGCATCATTTTAATTTG